TTATGCTGTGTAACATCAGTGGGGGGAAAGGAAAGTAAGGGGAGAACTTCGCCTTTACACAGCATATCTACTATTTTTCCACATATTAGAGTGTAAAACATTATAATTTTTTAGTAAGCAAATGTCCGCTGAACGGAACTGCGCAAAACGCATGATCGCACTGGCTACTTTAGAGCACTTCGCTATTTACTGCTTTAGGTTCACATTTTTTAATGCGTTTTGTGCTGTGTAACAGCAGTACAATACGCATATTGTCACGGGATTGCCTGTGTGTGTGTCCGCAGCAAATTGTCCGTAACTTTCAACTCGGGAACCATAAAAGCTGGGAAGCTGAAAATTTAGGGTAATTCTTCCCACCCACGAGTGATCCCGTAAACTTCAGCCTTCCCGTACCTGCGGGTAACACGTACGGCTTCGCAAAAGTCCGGGCGGGTAAAATTATTATCACGGGAACCACGGAAGCTAAAAGGTTGAAATTTTGCTGGCATGTCCCCTGCTCACGTGCTACCCAAAAAATTTAAATTCAGCTTTCTCTTGCCCGCGGGTAATATCTACGGCCCCGTGGAAATTTTGACGAGTAAATTATTATCTCTGGAACCATGGAATCCAGGAAACTGAAATTTTAGGGTAATGACCCCCTGCCCGCAAACGATCTTGCAAATTCAAATTCAGCGTTCCCACGCCTTCGGCTATTACCTATGGGCTAGTAAAAATTTTTGCAGGTGAATTATTATCTCATGAACCATAAAATCTACGAAGCTGGAATTTTAAGGTAATGACTCACTGTCCACGCACAACCTTACAAATCTAAATTCAGCGTTCCCACACTGTCGAGTACCACCTACAGCCCCGTGGAAATTTTTGTTGGTGAATTATCTCAGGGACCATAAAAGCTAAATAGCTTTAGTATTGCAGTAGTGTGCTCTGCCCACATACGACCCCGCAACTTTAAATTCAGCCTTACCGCGCGTCCAGGTATCACTTACGGCCCCGTGAAAGTTTCAGCGCGAAAAATTATCTCGGGAACCACGAAAGTTAGGAATTTGAAATTTTAAGGTGATGTTCCCTATCAACGTACCCCGTAATTTTGGATTCAGCCTCCACATACCCCTGGGTACTGCGTACGGCACCGTGAAGGTTTTGGCAGGAAAATTGTCTCGTGAACTGCAAAAAATAAGAAGCTGAAACTTTAGAGTGGCATCTCCTGTTCACATGCAACTTCGCAAATTTTCAACGTTTCCGTGGAAGTTTTGGCGAGAAAAATCATCTCGGAAGCCAGAAGTGCTAGGAGACTGGAAATTTCAGGAGAATGTTTCCTGTCTAAGCAGGGCTTCATAAACTCGAATTCCTGAGTATGCCAAGATCTCGTATACGACCACGCGAAAGTTTTGTCTCAAAGATCATTCGAAAGCCGGAAAATTAGATTGAAATTTTGGAAGGATATTCGCCCTTCGAGGTTTCAAGTTCAGCTTTTACGTGCCGGTGGGTAAAAGTTTTAACTATTTTCCAGCGTTTCAACTATTTTTGCACAGACTAAAGTACAAGGCAGCGGGAATCATCAAAGGTCAATTGTTCGGTGGACGGATTGCACAGAACACATGATCGCACCTGCTATTCTGGTCGCGCTGCTATTTATTTTGATTTTTCTTTTGTTCCTGCGCCCATGCTTTACTTTCTTTTTAGTGCTTTGTTTTCTATTTCTCTTTACTGCTCTCTCCTTTTGCCTCGAGTTCCTGCCTTGTACTCTGGTTCACCTTATTTACTGTGTCTTCAAATCCTGCCTGCAGTGCAACATCTGAGCTCCTCTTCATCCCCACTCTGGAAGCAAGCAATATTTTAGCCCTTTCCCCACCCCTGGTGTCCGCGGCAAAAACCTGAAGCACACTTCCTCCTTCTACACTTCCGTCATCCTCTCCTCTCCCTTACATGGCTTAAGCAACCGTCAAAGGATTCAGGCCACGCAGCCTTTCCGTTCACCTACCAAATCCCGTCCCCTGCCCTGAACTCCAGCGCGCAAAACCTGTACTCCCCCTCTCCCCCACCGCCTTCTTCCCCCTACCTCACGCCCGTCTGCGCCATTCAACGCCTTTTGCCTGGTTGAGGTAAGGACACCTCCGGCAGAAAAATTTTCACAGATCGTGTGGCCGAGGTTTAGTTATTGCGTTAAGTTGTTTGCGATGTCTCGTGACTGGTAGTGCGCCCTCCGCCGTTTGCGTAATGCTTCGTCGCAGGAATTTTTTTTCTTAGTACTTTCCTCCCTCTCTCTGCTCACACTGTCCCGTCAATCGCCAATGAATTGTGTTTTGATGGAGGTGAGATGGGACGTGTGACGCAGCAGCTACTGAAGTTTGGATCGGCTGGTCCCAGTTACGGGGTTTGCGTTCGGTTTTGGATTGGTAGATTAGTCGTAGGTGTGTGAAGTCTTCGATTTTTTGTTTCTGCGAGATTTTGAGTAGGGGGATAAAGGTGCGTGTGTTGTATAAGTTGCGCGCTGCTTTCACAGTCCAGAATCTCATTAAACCAAGACAGCGATATAATTCCGGGCAACTACTAAAATTCGGCTTATTTCGGCGGCTTGAAAGGCAAATTACAGTAAGGAGGAATGGGGGTGGTGAGCTGGTGGTGCGGGCGGGAGAATGAGGGTTGGGAGTGGCAGCCGAAGTCTTGGAAGTCATGATGTGGGCAGCGGACGGGGCTGTTCGCTGCAGAGCAGCTGGGGCTCCACTTGGAGGTAGGAGTTGGGAAAAGGAGCGGGGTTTATGGGAAGTGGGACTAGAGTTTTTTCTACTCAGTCTGAAACTTGGCACTGCGAGGAAGTTATCAGCCTTGGACGCGACTGCTGGAACGTTAGCTAGAAAAGAAACGCGCATCTCGACCCCCGCAGCCGAGTTCTAGCAGTTGCCTACTTGGTGTGTGAAAATATCAGTGATTGAAGAAATCGAAAATAGAACCCAGGCTGGGACGCACCAAGCTTCCCGGTGCGATCATGCGTTTTTGCAGTGGACTTGAATTAGGTTAACCACATAAATGTTGCTTCGCACCTACCCTTTGCGCTCAGTACCGCAAATCACCGTAAATTTTGCATAAAAGAAAATAAACAATTTCCACTTAGCGGTCGTTTTTATGCGTTTTTTGCAGCGATGCAATGCGAAAAACGCATATTGACGAGAGGTTGTCTGTGTGTGTCTGTGTGTCCGTGTGTGCGTCTGTCACGGTTTTTCATCTCAAGACCTACAAAAGCTGCGGGGCTGAAATTTTGGGGACTTGATCTACATGCACGTACGGGCCCCAGTCCCCAAAATTGGCGCCATACCCGCGTGGTACCCGCGTACGGACCCCCCAAAGTTTTTCCCGCGCAAATTCATAACTCGGGGTTCTGAGGAAGGCTGAAATCTTAGGGGAATGTTCCTCGTCCGAGCAGGTGCTAATGAGTTGAAATCCAGCCCCCGGGTAAGCGTGGTACCCGCGTGTGAGCCTGCCAAAATTTTTCCCGCGTAAATCCATAACTCGGGGATCTGTGAAGTAAGAGAGCTGAAATCTTAGAGGGTGTTCCCTGTCCAAGTGGGTATTAACGAGTTCAAACCCTGCCCG